TTCATAAACAAATATTTATTTTATATACTGTTTATAAATCAAACTTTGTATGCAAATTTTTGCTTAACTCCAGTTCAGTTCCCTGTTCAGTTCTAGTTCAGACCTTGTTCATTTCAAGTTCAGTTCCAGTGACCGTTTCCTATGAAGATATTCATTCTTTTTTCCTTTTATTCCTTTCAGTGCATTACTCGTGGCTATCGCAATGTTTTAGTTGATGCCGGTCTCACCTCTTGTGGCAAAATTGTCATTGTCAATCGTTTGACTTTGGAAAAGGCTGGCCTCTCTGGCAGCATTGCTCTTCATACTCTGGAGTCTTTAAAGAAAATCAATATTGCCGAATTACATCCAATGGGGTAAATATAAATTACTCATAAATTCTCCACACATAATTTCTAAATAATTAGTTTTCTTTGTATTTTTAGCAAACACTTTGAAGCCGAATATGTTTTAACATTAAAAGAACTTTTAGATTTTCTAGAAGACCAACGACTCACCGTTTTCCTATACATATCCGATAATAGTTCACAAATGTTGGAGTGTCTAAAGACGACTATTAAAGATAATCCTTTATTTATACAACGTATTATTTTAATCAGCAGATCTCCAATAACTGTTTATCAGGTAAGAATATGGGAAAGGTTGAATGGAATGTATTAGAACCAGAACTGAACTAAAAGTGAAGTAGAACTGAACTAAAACTGAAATAGAACTGAACTAAAACTGAAATAGAACTGAACTACATTTGAACTACAACTGAACTAGAACTGAACTAGAATTGAACTAGAACTGAACTAGAACTGAACTAGAACTGAACTAGAACTGAACTAAAACTGAACTAGAACAGAACTAGAACTGAACTAGAACTGAACTAGAACAGAACTAGAACTGAACTAGAACTGAACTAGAACTGAACTAGAACTGAACTAGAACTGAACTAGAACTGAACTAGAACTGAACTAGAACTGAACTAGAACTGAACTAGAACTGAACTAGAACTGAACTAGAACTGAACTAGAACTGAACTAGAACTGAACTAGAACTGAACTAGAACTGAACTAGAACTGAACTAGAACTGAACTAGAACTGAACTAGAACTGAACTAGAACTGAACTAGAACTGAACTAGAACTGAACTAGAACTGAACTAGAACTGAACTAGAACTGAACTAGAACTGAACTAGAACTGAACTAGAACTGAACTAGAACTGAACTAGAACTGAACTAGAACTGAACTAGAACTGAACTAGAACTGAACTAGAACTGAACTAGAACTGAACTAGAACTGAACTAGAACTGAACTAGAACTGAACTAGAACTGAACTAGAACTGAACTAGAACTAAACTAGAACTAAACTAGAACTAAACTAGAACTAAACTAGAACTGAACTATAACTGAAGTAGAACTGAACTAGAACTGAACTAGAACTAAACTAGAACTAAACTAGAACTAAACTAGAACTGAACTAGAAATTAATTGAAACTGAACTAGATCTGAACTAGAACTGAACTAGAACTGAACTAAAACTGAACTAGAACTGAACTAGAACTGAACTAAAACTGAACTAAAACTGAACTAGAACTGAACTAGAACTGAACTAGAACTGATCTAGAACTTAAGTAGAACTGAACTAAAACAAAACTACTACTGAACATATTGCTTAACATTTTCCTCTATTAAATTTTTATTCTCCATTGCAGCTTCGTAAACTATTTCCCGAACTGATATGCGGCCTATGGACTGAAAAATCTTTGGCTTTACCTTTACTTAAAGCTTCAACATTGATTACCTCAATATATGGTGCATTCTTTCGTAATATAATCTCACCAGTTATAGGCATTAGTGTGGTTTTTGTCTCAAAAGAAGAATTTAATTTGTAAGTAAAAAACTACAAACTCTTATTTACCTGTTTATGCTAATCCTATACTTTTTTAGACACATTGCTGAACTATGGCGTAATGTTGGCGTCCGACCGATTGTTTATAATGTTAATTCACCGAACGAAAAACGTTACTTCCAAAAAACTATGAAGACACAATATCTAACCGATTCTTTAAGATCCGAACCTCATTTATTAATGAAAGCTTAAAAGTCAAAAGTAAAATACATATAAACATTATTAATAATCTACTAAATATAAAAGATTTTAAAAATTAAGACTCAGATCTTCTTAAAATAGGCTTAAACTCTTCAAAGAAAAGGAGACACAAAGTAAAGCCGCAGTTTAGTTTTATACAAACAAAAACCAAACAAACAACTTTTAATGATTATCACACAAATTGATATTATTTAAACTCATCTTTTTAACATTATCATATTATATATATAAATATTCGAATATATGAAACGTACGTCCTTTTGATTTTTATTACTTTTTTATACAAACATTAGTTTTTTTTAATATTTTATGTTTGTTTCATCTTTATAGTATTACATACCAAACAAAGAGCTTAACTTAAGCATACAGTTTTTTTATTATTATTATTATTATTTTATTTATTATGTTTTATTTTATTTTTATACATGTATAACGGATGCTATTTTATATATTTGTTTATTGCCATTTTATTGTAACTTTTAGTTTATTTTTTGTGTTACATTTGTTGTGATTAATTTATTTTATTTTTGAATTTTATCTTTGTAACGTAAATGTTTTAAACATCACGCTCAAAACCCTGTTTAATTTATTTTTTTATAAGTATTTGTCTGTCTTGCACAAAAATTATGTTTTCTTCCTTAATTGCTTTATTTTTTTTTATACATTTTTGTAAATTTTCACAATCCTATTTTGTATAAGTGTAGTGTTTAAGTGCGCGCGTCTTTTTTATTTCATCATTTTTATTTTACAATAACCCATAAACAACATCAACAAACATCTGCCGTAATGGTGACTATAGATATAATATATTTTTTTCTACAAATTAATGTAAGAAACTTTTAAAAGAAAACAATTATTGTATCTTAAAAAAATACCAAAAGTGAAAATAAATATAAATAAAATATAGAAAAAACATGGTTATTGTTTCAATTTAAGTTTAAAGGAAATTATAAATTAAATTTTTAAAATTTTTTTCAAAAATAAATTTTTTCTTGGTGTAAAAATTCCATGTTCGAAACTTTTCGAACATATAAAACATTATCAAATATTGACAAAATTTCAAAATTTGTCTTATTATTTTTATTTAAGAATGCATAAAAATGATTTTCAATAATTTTTAGAATTTCGAATACAGTTCGAATTTTCGAAATTAATTTTGAATGTTCGAAAATGATTTCAAAAGTTTAGATTTCATGTATATATTAAGAATTTTAACAAACATTCGAAATTTTTCTAATTTTTGTGCAAAAATTAAATGTTTGAAATTTTTCGAACATACAAAACTTTATAAAATATTGATAAAATTTCAAAATTTCTCTTATTATTGTTGCTTAAGAATGTAAAAATAATATTTTCAATAATTTTTGGAATTTCGAACTTAAGTTCGAGTTTTCGAAATTAATTTTGAATGTTCGAAAATGGATTAAAAAGTTTAGATTTCATGTATATATTAAGAATTTTAACAAACATTCGAAATTTTTCTAATTTTTGTGCAACAATTAAATGTTCGAAAATTTTCGAACATACAAAACTTTAAAAAATATTGATAAAATTTCAAAATTTCTCTTATTATTGTTACTTAAGAATGTAAAAATAATAATTTCAATAATTTTTGGAATTTCGAACTTAAGTTCGAGTTTTCGAAATTAATTTTGAATGTTCGAAAATGGATTAAAAAGTTTAGATTTCATGTATATATTAAGAATTTTTACAAACTTTCGAAATTTTTCTAATTTTTGTGCAAAAATTGAATGTTCGAAATTTTTCGAACATACAAAACTTTATAAAATATTGATAAAATTTCAAAATTTCTCTTATTATTATTGCTTAAGAATGTAAAAATAATATTTTCAATAATTTTTGGAATTTCGAACTTAAGTTCGAGTTTTCTAAATTAATTTTGAATGTTCGAAAATGATTTCAAAAGTTTAGATTTCATGTATATATTAAGAATTATAACAAACATTCCAAATTTTTCTAATTTTTGTGCAAAAATTAACTTTATAAAATATTGATAAAATTTCAAAATTTCTCTTATTATTGTTACTTAAGAATGTAAAAATTATATTTTCAATAATTTTTGGAATTTTGAACTTAAGTTCGAGTTTGCGAAATTAATTTTGAATGTTCGAAAATGGATTAGAAAGTTTACATTTCATGTATATATCAAGAATTTTTACAAACATTCGAAATTTTTCTAATTTTTGTGCAAAAGTTAAATGTTCGAAATTTTTCGAACATACAAAACTTTATAAAATATTGATAAAATTTCAAAATTTCTTTTATTATTGTTGCTTAAGAATGTAAAAATAATATTTTCAATAATTTTTGGAATTTCGAACTTAAGTTCGAGTTTTCGAAATTAATTTTGAATGTTCGAAAATGGATTAAAAAGTTTAGATTTCATGTACATATATATTAAGAATTTTTACAAACTTTCGAAATTTTTCTAATTTTTGTGCAAAAATTAAATGTTCGAAATTTTTCGAACATACAAACAAACCTTTATAAAATATTGATAAAATTTCAAAATTTGTCTTATTATTGTTGCTTAAGAATGCAAAAATAATATTTTCAATAATTTTTGGAATTTCGAATACAGTTCGAATTTTCGAAATTAATTTTGAATGTTCGTAAATGATTTAAAAAGTTTAGATTTCATGTATATATTAACAATTTTAACAAACATTGGAAATTTTTCTAATTTTTGTGCAAAAATTCCATATTCGAAATTTTTTGAACATAGAAAACTTGATCAAATATTGATAAAATTTCAATATTTCTCTTATCATTGTTACTTAAGAATGCAAATGAATTAATGAATTAACCACCTACGCCCCCCTTAAAAAACAATTTTAATTTAGATTTTATTTACTTTTTTTTTTAATTTTTTTTTTTACATTTATTATTTATATTTCTATATATATTTTTCTGTTTGTAAGTTGTTACATAAAAGTTATAAGCTAAATTATATTATATCATATTATTACAAAGAAACATTGTTTTTTTCCATTAAAAAAGATAAACATTTTTTTGAAAAATAGATTTTTTCTCTAATAATAATATAAAAAAAAGAAATCGTATAAAGTGTGTATTTTAATAATATTAAAACAATTAAACAACAAAGTAACGCATAAAAGATAATTTATATATTTTTTCCAGGAGTCAAATTTACTTTTGAAGTGGAGTTTTTCATAAGTTATACACAAAGAAAAAATTCAACATAAAACATACTCCTACCAAAAAAGTTATGCTCCAAATCTTAAAATAAAAATATATATGTAAGTTGAAAAAAAAAGACAAGTTTATAAATATTTCTGAACATATAACTAAAAAAAGAACTAAAATTCGCTTGAATGGAAAGAGTGTGTGTGTGTGTGAGAGAGATAGTAGAAAGAGAAATATTAAAATTATTTGCGTCGAGTGCGCGTTCCTCTTTTAACCGGCTCTGGTGTTTCGACTGACGTTGGTTCTATATTGGTTGTTAGTTGTTGTTGTTGGGTGGAAGTACTAGCTTCAGCCTCTTGATGTTCATCGAAATGTACATTTCTACGGCCTCTCCCTCTACCACGTGTGACTTTTGCCTCTGCACCAGGAGTATCGGCGTTCTCAGCTACTTCCTCTACCGCTTTAGCTTTGCGGCTTTTTTTTACTGGTACTTCGGTTGTTTCCGTTGTAGTAGTTGTTGTCGCCGCTTTACGTACTCTTTTGTTGGCTGGTTTATCTGCCGTTTCCGTTTTGTCATGATCATCTTCTGTATCATCAGCTCCTTCTATCGTAGAGGCAGAAGTTAATCTGTGTTCTCGTTTTAGGGGAGAATTTTTGTTTTTAGCTACTTTTTCTTCTTCCAACTCAGAACTGTGGGCATCTGTTTCAGGTGTGGCCACTATAGGAGTTGCTGCTTTTGTTGGAGCCTTTTTGGCCCTTGACCTTTTAGGTGGATCAATGGCGGCAGCCGCTAAAGCATCTTCTTCAATTCTGGCTTTAGCTGCGGCAGCTGCATTACGTCTACCCGCTGTGCGAGTGGGTGGTGTTGGCGCCTCAACTGCAGGAGAAGAATCCTGTTTTTCGCTTTCCAATTCCAAAGATTTCTTAGCTGGTGGTTCATCGCTATTAGCATTAGGTTCTTCTTCAGTTATTTTAGCTTTACGTCCTCCACGACGTCCTTTAACAGGAGCATGAGCTGGAGGCGGTGTGGTGTGTAACTCAACTTCTTTTTCTTCTACAACTGCAACAGTGGTTTCTGTTTCCTCTTTAGTTTGAGCAACCGCTGCTTGTTTACCTCTTCCTCCCCGTCCGCCCTTGCTAGCTTGAGGTGTTCCTTCGACTTCAGTTTCAATAGTGGAAGCCTTACGTCCACGTCTAGCTGGCGTACGTTGTGGCGTACCTGCATCTGCAACAGCAGCTGCCGATGCCAACAAACCTCTTTTCTTGGGTGTTTCCGCTTTGGCACGTTCTTCCTCTAGGAATTGTTGAACTTTAGCGGTTGGTTTTCGTGTGCGACCTCTAGCTGTTGTAGTTGCTGTTGTCGTTGAAGGCGATGGTGAGTTATCGATAATGGGTGCCGTTGTAATGATGGCCGTGGGTGATGTTTTTGCAACTTCTAGGGATTTGCGTGGTGAGTCTGTTTTCTTTTTTGTTTTAGTTGTTACTTCACTATCGGAAGTTTCATCATAATTGTGATATGCCGTAGCTGCTCTGCGCTGTGGTACATTGCGTGCTCTTCTACCTGGTGTATCATCAGCCAGTTCTTGCGATTCCGCTGTTATGTGCTCAATAGTAGAAACCTTTCGGCCTTTTCTTGCAGTGGGAGCAGCACGTTGTGGCGTTTGTAGTTCTGCACTTGGATTAACAACTATTGTTTCAGGGTCCTTAGTTGATTTCTCCTCAATGTGCTCCTTTGCGTTCGCGACAGGTTCTTGAGTATCTGTATGCGACTCTTTACGCTTTCGACCTCTGTGTTTTGTTTCAGGTGAGTGTGAAGTTGTTGGCTGATCGGGTTCTTCGGTATAGTCAACTTTCTTTCTTCTTGTCCGACCTTTCTTAGCTTCTTCTTGTGGGTGTTCAGTTTCAGTGTCATGATCACCATGTTCGGCTTCATGTTCAAGTTTCTTTCTACCCACATGACGGCGTTTGTGTGAGGTGTCACTACTTTCAATATGTATCGATTCCTCCTCGGTGTCATGTTTTTCTGGAACCCCTTCTTCATGTTCAGATTTCTTCCTAACAACATGACGACGTTTATTTGTAGTATCATTACTTTGAACGTGTTTTGATTCTTCTTCAGTGTCATGTTTTTCTATAGCCGGCTCATCATGATCATGTTTCTTTCTACCAACATGACGTCGAGTACTTGTTGTCTCGCTAGTTTCGATAACCATTAGTGAACTATGATCTTCCTCTTTACCGTGTTCGTGTTGGTTCTTAGTAGTGGATTCTTCTTCATCGACTACATGTTCTTCTACATGGCGATTTTTCTTTCCCACTCCTCTCCTCTTGCTAGATAAAGCACTCTGCACTTCGTGATCATGTTCAATATCTTTAACAACAGCCTTTCTCTTTACAGACGCCAATGTTTCATGTTCCTCTTCGTCTTGTTGATGTTCCACCACGTCAGCTGCAGCTTTTCTACGACCTTTTCGAAGTTTAACGTCTTTTTGATTTTCTTCTTGAGGAACAGCATGCTGATGTTCGGGTTCAAGATTAACTTCAGTTATCTTTACTTCGGACAAGGGTCTTTCTTCCGCTGACTTTGTTTGCTCCTCGGTGTGTTCAGTATGTGATTGATGTTCATCACTTTCATTATGTCTAGTAGCTTTTCTTCTAGATTTAGTTGAATGATGTTCTTCTTCTTGTACTTGGTGTGAGGCTGCTGCACCTCGTCTTCGTGTAGACTTTTGAGGTTTCTCGACAACATCTTTATCAGTTTGAAATTCTTCAACAACTTCTGGCTTTTTCTCTTCAGTATTATCTTTAATTTCAGTCACTTGATGTCTGGCCCGTCTCTTGGTGGGCTTTTCATCAACAACAGTGTCTTGATTCGTTTCGGAAGTAGTACGCGTACGTTTCGGACGTTTCTTAAGGGAGGTATCTTCCTGTTTCTTTTCATTTTCTTCATCAGTACTTTCATCTATGATCACAACATTTGCATCAACATGGCTTTCAAGAACTTCACCAACTACTGCAATTTCTTCAACATCTTTTACAGATTCTATTGGTTCTTCTAGCTTATTAGAAGTCATTGGCTGTTCTACAGGTGTTTTGCGGTTTCGACTTGTTGTACGGCCTTTAGATACTTCAGCATGATCTTCTTGGTTGTCAGAAGTATTAGGGTGTTCAACAGGTGTTTTTCTGTTTCGACTTGCACTGCGTCCTTTTGCAATTTCAGGAGAGACTGTGGGCATTTCTGTTTGTTTTTCACTCGCAGCTGGTAGTTCTGATTCAGAAGTAGGATGCTCTGCGGGAGTTTTACGGTTTCGGCTTGCACTGCGCGCTTTAGAAACATCTTCAGTAAAGGTTTCGGAAGCTGCAGCTTTATGTTTACCACCGCGTCTTGTCGCATGAGATGTTTTAGTGGAGGTTTCAACATGTTCAGCTTCTTGTGATTTCTTAATCTCTTCATTTGTTTCTTCAACATGTTTCTCTACGCTAGTTTCGACTGGAACTTCCTCTATATCTACATTACGTCGACCTCCACGTTTGGCAGTTTTCGTGATGGCTTCAACTTGTTCAACTTCTTCTGGTTTCACTATTTCTTCATTCGATTCCTCAACATGTTTATCTACTGTTGGTATTACAGCGCTGGCAACAGATTCCTCCACTTTTGTAGAAGTTTCGACTGAAACATCTTCCACACCTACTTTACGTCCTACTCCACGTTTGGCAGTTTGTTTCGTAGAAGCATCGACTTGTATCTCTGGTTTGATACTTTCCTCATTAACTTTCTCTGGAGGCTGTTCACTGCTCTCCAACACGACTATTTCTTCATGTGGAACATCACCAATTTTAACTGATTTGGTTTCAGCAACCACTTCAACTTCGTTAGTTTTATGTTCCTCTATTGTTTCTATAGGTTTATCTTCTGCAGCTGGGATTTCCTGTGCATCTATTTTACGTCTTCCCCCACGTTTGGCAGCTTGTTTCGTAGGAGCCTCTACTTGTTTCTCTGGTTTGACACTTTCTACGTTAAGTTTCTCTTGAGGATGTTCACGGCTTTCAATCGCGTTTTCTTTTACTGTCAGGTCAACATTGACTGTAGCTACAACAGGAACATCTTCGACTTTAGTTGATTCGGTTGCAGTCACCACTTCAACTTCGTTTGAGATATTTTCGAGTTCCGTGGCAGCTTCTACGGATTTTTCCTCTATAGTTGCAGCTGGAATCTTACGACGACCTCTGCGGCTGGTAGTTGGTTCTTCGGGAAGACTTTCGGGTAAATCACGTTTACGTCGACCTCGTTTAACACTATGTTCTTTAATATCGTCATGTTCAACATGAGTTTGTTTTACTTGGGTTTCTTCTAGGCCTACCTCCATTTCGAGTAATTCTTGTGAATATTCTTTAATTTCTTCTTGTTCTGAGTTTTTCTCCATGTTTGTCGATTCTACCGGAACTTCCGGAAGAGTAATAGTAGCAGCTTCGGTTTCACAGTTTTCGTTAAAGTTTTCTTTAGTTTCCTTATTTAAATCGGCTGAATGTTCTATTATTTCTGCCTGACCCAGAACATCCTCCGTTTCTTTTATAGTAGCGGTAGCTGTTTCCAGCTGGCTAGTAATCTGTTCTTCGTTTTCTTCTGGCACTATCTCTTCCACAGGAGTCTTTTGTACTTTACGACGACCTTTACGTGAATGCTTTGTATCTTCTTCATGAACTGAACCTTGACTTGATTCTGATACCGTCGGTTTGCGACGACCCCGTTTATTCGTATGCTCTTTAACATCTTCTAATGTCACACATTGAACATCAACAGTTTGCTCGTGTTTATATTGGTTATCTCCTGGTTCATTTTGTTCTATTTCAACGGATAATTTTGATTCAACTTCTGCTTGCTTTGTTTCTTCTTTGTCGCCAGTAAATATAATTTCATCCTTATTGCTTAAGATTGTAGTTGTCGCCACTTCTTCCGTATCTATTATCTCCTCTACTACAGCTTCTTCTACAGGAGTCTTTTGTACCTTACGACGTGTCTTTCTAGAACGCGAATTGTCGTCTTCGTGTACTGATCCTTGACTCGATTCTGATACAGTTGGTTTTCGGCGTCCCCGTTTGATTGGCTGCTCTTTAGGTTCATCCACAGTAACAGCCATTTCTTCAACTTCTTGTACAGTTTCGGTAATTTCTTTAGGTTCGGAAATTGATTGCTCTTTAGGTTCTTCTACAGTAACAGCCATTTCTTCAACTTCTTGTACAGTTTCGGTTACGGTAGGGTGGTGAATAGGTTGCTCTTTAGGTTCTTCAACGGAGATGACCATTTCTTTATCATCTTCTACAGTTTCTGTAACTTCTTCAGGTTCCGGCAATTCAATAATATCTGACAACTTGTGTTCGAATACATCATTTGACAAACATGTGGCTTCGCTTGATATGACTTCATCGTTTTGAGTTTCCTGTAGTTCAATGGTCTTCAAATTGCTGTCACCTGCGGATACTGAATTTTTTTTATTTTCAGAAATTGTAGGTTTACTTTCTTCGGCAGATTCTTCTGTAATGTCTGAAGAAGAGTCTACTGTGGGCGGCAAATTTTCAATTGCTTCTTCAGATTGTTGTTGCTTCTCTAAAACAGGCGGAATGGTTTCTTCGGATAGTGTATCTTGATCCGTTTTATCATCTTCAATTTCTTCAGTTTTTTGGTCTTCATCACTTGGGGCCTCGTTTTCTAATTCGGCAACGATTTCTTCGTTATTGATTTCAACTGATTTTGGAAGTTCAGAAGTTATTTCCTCTAGTTGTGTTTCTTTCGTTGATGAAGCTTCTATTTCTTCTGTAATAACTGCTTCTGAAGATGATTCCTGCTTTTCAGTAGAAATCTCTATAACTTGTTCATCTTCCTTATCTGTAACTTTTTCGACTTCATTTTCAGTCTCAGTTACAAGTTCTTCGGTAGTTCTTGAATTTAGTTGTTCCATTTTGTCTTCTTTCTGATGTTCTTCTTCAGGTTTTGTAACATATTCTTTTTGTTCTACAGCAAGCTCTTCACATTCTTCTTTTTGTTCTACAACTGTTTCTTCCACAGGAGGTTTTTGTACTTTACGACGACCTCTACGTGTATGACTATCCTCATCTTTAACTGAGCCTTGACTTGATTCAGATGTAGTACGTTTCCGTTTAGGTTTTTCGTCCACTACTTGAGACGACTTGGAAATTTGTGGTTCTTCTTCAACTTGTTGGAGTTTTTCTTCACTTTGTTTTTTAATGATTTTACGCCTATCTCTGCGTGATCTAGAGTGACCTTCTTCTCCTTGTGTTGAATCTTGACTGCTTTCCGACACTGTACGTTTTCTACGACTAGTTTTAGTTGAACTGACTTCGGCGATTTTACCATCAACTTCCTCAGAGACTTCTACGATCGCATGTTTCGCGGTTTCCTTCGATTCCACTGCAGTTTCTTCAGATTTTTGTTCATTTAGCTCTTCAGCGGTTTCATCAACAGTCATTGTAGCTTCATTTTCTATTTGTGTTGTGTTCTCTTCTGTTTTTGTATTTTTCTTGGTACGTCTAGTAGAGGGCAACTCTGAATCGGCTTTAGAACTTTCTGTAGTCTGTGAACCTTTACGTTTACGCAGGCTGGTTGTTGGTTTTTCCGATTTAGCTTCAACAGTTTCCTTTTCAGTTTCTTTTTCACTTTTATGATCCATATCGTTTATTTTTATTTCAAAATTATAAGATTTTACAATTTCTGATGGTTTCGTAGATTCTTCTTGAGAATCTTTTATTTCAGAAGTGGATTCGGTTAGTTTCTCAGTTCTCTCTAAAGATTCAGATTTCTTTAATTCTTTTGTAGATTCATTTTGTGTTTCTTTAGGAAGATTTTCGCTTGCTTTTGTTGAATCTTCTTCCTCTATTAAAGAAGGGTTTTCAGCTTCGATTGGTTGAAGTTTCTCTGTTGAAAAGGTTGCAATCTCTTCTTTAGATCCTAAAGATTGTTTATCTTCTGAAATTTCCACCGGTTTAGATGTTACTTTAGCTTCGGTAATATTTTCACTAGATTTAGGTGATTCTTCAGACTTTGTTGAATTGTTTTCTTCAGATTCTGTTGCGGCAGACAATTCTTTTTGATCAGATTGAGAAGATACAGTCGCTTCAGATGGAATATCAGTTTCAGTTTCGTCTTTGGGATATGAAACTGGTTTATCGCCGATGATTTCAGATGAATCAGCTTCTTTGGATTCAATAGATGTTGCTTCAAGGTTTTGAGTGGTTGATTCTTCTTTTACAAGTGCTAATGTTGTGTCTTCTTGGAAATCAGCTATCGACTGAGGAACTTCGTAAGATTCCTTATCTTCAGTTGAAGTTTTATCTGTTGAGGAAGAATCCTGTGGATTCTCTTCAATGACTTCAGTTGGTATTGGAGAAATAGTCTGTTTCAATTCTTCATTATCTTTTGAGCTTTCCTCAGAAGTTTTAGATAATTTATCGTCGTTACTTTGTTCAACTATTTCTTCCGATGTTTCTAAAGGTTCCTGTAGATTAGCCGAAGTTTCTCCTGGAGTTTCATCCGATGATTCTTCTTTAATTTCTAAAGTTTCAACTGGTTTATCGTCGACTTGTTCAAGTTCGATTTCAGATGTTTCACTTGGCTTATCCGTTTGTGGTGGTTTCTCTATCAGCTCAGATTGATCCTTTGTAAGATCCTCTAGCTGAGAGCACTCTAATTCATGAGAAACTGTTTCCACTTCGTCTTGTTTTCCATCCGAGGAATTAGATTGTTTAACAACAGATTCAACTTCTATTTTTTCTTCAATTTCTAAAGTTTCAGTTGGTTTATCGTCGACTTGTTCAAGTTCTATTTTAGATGTATCAATTGGCTTATTATCGGTTTGTGTTGGTTTCTCTATCAGCTCAGAGTGATCATCAGTAATATCTTCTAGTTGAGAGCTCTCTAATTCATCAGAAATTTGTTCAATAACATCTGCTGTTTTCACTTCGTCTTGTTTTTCATCAGAAGATTCATGTTGTATAACAACAGTTTCACCTGGTGTTTTATCCGAAGATTCTTGTTTAATATCTGAAGTTTCATTTGGTTTATTGTCGACTTGTTTGTCATCTGATGATTCGTGTTCGATTTCAGATGTTTCACTTGGCTTAACTTTGATTTGTGATGAGTTCTCTATCAGCTCAGATTGATCTTTAGTAATTTTCTCGGGTTGACAGCTCTCTTCAGAAATTTCCTGAACAATGTCTGCTGTTTCAGCATCATCTTGTTTTTCATCAGAAGCTTCAGGTTGTATTAGTACTGATTCACTTGACACTTTAGAAACTTCTGACAATTCCGATTGTTCTTCAGTAGTATCTTCAATTCGAGAACTTTCTGAAGATTCTAATTGGATTCCAGATGTTTCATTCCGTTTAATTTCAGGTAATTCAGACAATTCTAAATGTTCCTCAATTCCTCCAATTGCATCGGTTTCTTTTTCACTGGCAGATGATAATTCATACAATTCCGCTTGTTTCTCAATTTGAGAATTCTCTAAAACTTTAGCTGTTTCTGATATTACAAATTCGGCTTCTTTTTCATCTGAAGAATCAGGTTGGATTGTTAAAGTTTCACTTGGCTTGTTTTCGATTGTTGGTAGTAATTCTGACAATTCTGCGTGTTCCTCAGCTGTATCATCAATATGAGAACACTCCAATACTTCAGCTGTATCTGATTCTACAACTTCAGCATCTTTTTCATCTGAATCTTCAAGTTGTATTGCTGAAGTTTCACTTGTCTTGGATTCGATTGCAGGTGGTAGCTCTGTCAATTCTGCTTGTTCCTCAGCTGTATTATCAATTTGAGAACTCTCTAATACTTCAGTTGTGTCTGACTTAACAACATCGGCTTGTTTTTCATCTAAAGATTCGGATAGTAAAACAGAGGTTGCACCAGCTATACTTGGCAACTCAGGTTGATCTTCAGCTGAACAAATTTGAGAACTTTCTAGATCCTCAGAAACTTGATCTGATGGTTCTTCCACATTATCTGCTGTTACTTCAGCCTGTTCACTTTCTTTTTCACAACTTTCTTCTTCCAATTTATTGGGTGTTAAAGATTCAGTTTCCTCGAAATGTTGCTGATCATCATTTGCTTTTACACTTTCAATATGATCATCCTTACGTGTCTCTTCATTTTCATTATTATTACCAGACTTCTCTTCCAGAACTTTCTCGCTTTCTTGAACATTTTCCTCCTCATTAGTTGCTTCTAGAACAGCTCCATCTTCAGCGGGTATATTCCAAGAACGTTCTTTAATTACTTCTTTAGTAGTTACCTCAACCATGGCAGATTCATTTTCAACGTCATTTTCTTCATTGACAGCCTCATCAGCAAAAGACTCATCGATGTTTGAATTATCCATAAAGATATTCTGGCACTCATGTTCCAATTGTTGTTTGGTTTCTTTTTCAGCAGATTTTTCATGTTTAATTTCTAGACTCTCTTTATTAGTTTCAATAGTTTCATCCTTAGTTTCCTGCTCTTCATTTGTTATAATCGTTTCTTCACAGATTTCAGTAACTGAGCTGTCTAAGAAAATATCTTCAGATGTATTAGATTCAACTTTTGTTTGCTCTATAGAAATTTCTTTAGCATCCAAATCTGCTTGCTTTTCACTAACAGCTTTCTCTGGCTTTTCAATAACATCTGTTTCAGTTGCATCTACTACTTCAGCAAATTCTTCTTCGGAATTTTTAGCAGTTTCTCTTGCTACTTCATCGTTCTTACTTTCATTTTGTGGCTCAGAGGAAATTTCAATAGTTGTTCGATTTTTACTGTCAGATGTTAACATTGCTTTCATGGGAGTTTCTTCAAATAGCAAACTTTCTTCCGCCAAAGTTTCGCTTTCAGAGATTACGTCTTTTGTCAGCTCATCCTCAACTTTAGAAGCTTCTTTTGCATTGCTATCATCTTCTATTTCTATTATAGATTTATCCTCCTCTTCTTTTTCAACAACTATTATAGAAGCATCTTGTTGTTTATTTTTACTTTCTAAAGGATCTTCGGCCAAAGACACATCAGAAACTTGTGCTACCATAGATTTTTCTTGTACATTCTCATCAATGTTGGATTCCTGTTTAGTTTCTGCTTCATTTGATTCAATTTCTTGCGATTGATTTAGATCTTCACTATCACTGACCATTAAAGGTTCAGACAAATCATTAGCTTCGTCTTGAGAAATTTCCTCTGCATTGGCATTATTAAGTGTGTTATCACCTACACATTCTTCGTCGTCGTCACTCACTACCAAAGGTTCTTCGAACATTGAAGGTTCCTCAACTAATAATGGTTCGTCTAACATTGAGGGTTGTTCATCTTGTACTGAATCCACCGTTTGATCTAATAAATCAAGACCGCTTATTTCAGCATCTATGGGAGTAAGAGGACGACTTTCTTTTTCCTTTAATTTAGCCGTGGCACTTAAAAGAGGATCTTTTGTTAGGGTTTTTGTTATAGAGCCAGTTGTTATATTTGTTAAGGATTTTTCAGTTAAATAAACTTTAGTACAAGTTTCGGGTATAATCGAATCAGTGGTACTTTGTTCTAAAAGAGAAACTTCTTCCATTTCTTTAACACTTTCATTAGCATTAACTTCACATTCTAAGATTGAGGGTGCTTCAGCCTGTTCTAGTGTCTCAATCCATTCTTCTACATCTGTTTTAGGTAAATCAGATAAAACATCTGCTGCTGAGAAAGGAGATGGCGCTTGAGGTGTTTGCAAAGCGTAAGATTTACGTTTATAGATATTACGTATGGGAGTTTGTATCTGCGATTCTTGGCCCACCATTTTATCAAAAGCCTCTTCGGCTGATTTATTGAGAGCCTCATCTAGGGACTCATTTTGTTTTTTTTCGAATTTTTCTACAGTCTCATCATGATCCGCATCATCATCACCATAATATGAATCGGTTATGCGTTCAACAAAACGTGATGCTACGGGAGTTTTGAAAAGTTCTTCCAAATTAGCCGTTTCACCGCCATCATTCAGGCTGGCATTCAAATCGTATTCAGTGGAAATTTCTATAGAATCACTACTTTTCTCTATAATGGCACTGGAAGGCATTGAGGGTATCATTATGTTTTTAGCTGTTGGTGTTCTAAGGAATTTATCTAATTCATGTTGTTTTTCAGCTGGTGAATCCATAAGTTCTTTTATGCCACCCATAATGGGTGTTGAACTCATTTTGGGGGTCTGCATTAATTCGCGTATTCCCTTAAGGCGTGGTGTACTACAGGTTTTAGGTGTTTTCAAAAGTTCTTTAACACCTTTCAAGTCTTGAGAAGTTTTTGAAGTAGTGCAGGGAATATCTTCTGTTTCAATTATCTCGGTCTGTTGTACAATTACCTCTTGTGGTTGTGGGGATTCTAAAAATTCTTTCACTCCACATGGTGTCATACAACTAGCCTTAATTTTAGCTGTAGTTGCAGACATATCTTCCGACTTTAGTGCCTCATCTCCTTCAGAGTATTCTTGCTTAGCTGGTGTGTCTAGCAATTCCTTTACACCACCCATTATGGGTGTGTTTGTTACTTTGGGTGTTTGCATTAATTCTCGCATTCCCTTAAAGCGTGGTGTGCTACAGCTCTTGGGTGTTTTTAGCAACTCTTTAACACCTTGTAAATTATCATTTTTCCTAGAACTAGAAGGCAGTTCCTCTACACATTCTTCCACATTTTTGCTAGCTTGTGGCGTTTTTACTAATTCCGCTACCACTGCCAATTTTTCCTCTTCCTCTTGTTCATTTTCTTTTGTAGTTTTAGGTGTTTTAACTAAATGGCGTATACCCACCATTTGAGGAGTATGCATTTCAGCTTTTGGTGTTTTTAGCAATTCACGCATACCCGACATCAAAGGAGTCTTGGGAGAATCGGCTATAATTGTTACCTGTTTCTTAGTTTTGGCTGGTGTGGAAACTTCAATGGTTTCTTTTGAGGATTTTGGTGTTTTTATCAAATCTGCTACTACCGCCAATTTTTCCATTTCTTCCTCTTCGCTTTCTTTGGGCTCTTTGGGTGTGCGTACTAAATCACGTAGACCTGCCAGACGTGGAGTTTGTACTTCAGCTTTTGGTGTTTTTAATAAATCACGCATACCAGCCATTAAGGGGGTTTTAGGCGTATCAGCTAGAATTTTTACAGATTTTTTGGTTACAGGTGTAGACATTCCTGGTTGTTTTACATCTGTTTTTCTAGGTGTTGTCTCTACATCATCTTCAAATTGTAGATTTTCCATTTCATCTTCACTCTGCTCATCTGCTGTGATCTGGCTAGTATTTAAATCCACTTCCTTAGCAACTGCTGATGAATCTAGAATTTCTACAAAATAAAACGAATTTTGGTTTAAATTTGGTTTTAAATTTCGAAAAGTTTAATATCAAATTACCTTTAACTTCAGGGCCAATACTGGATTTTTCCAAATTATCTACTTCTTTAGTTACTAATGAGTTATCAGCTGCAGTAGACAAAAAATATTTGTTTTATTATAAATTTAAATATGTCATTGTTACAAAATCCTTACCTTCTACGTGAACTTTATCAACTTCATCTGTTTTGTTAGAACTTTCTGGTAACTCTTCAATAATTTCCTTATTTGACTTTTCCTTGGAGTTTAGAGCATCATCTAAAAAACAAAGTTTTGTTATTATATAAATAAATTCTTAAATTTATAAAATATAATTTGAAAATACCTTGCTCCTTAACAGATCCTTCTTCTTTCTTTTCCTCTGTAGCCAAATTAGCTTCTTCAGTCTCCTTTTCTAAAGTCTCTGCAACTTCATTTTCATTTAAAGTTTGATCATCAGTTGTGATAAGATCTTCAACAGCATCTTGTTTCTCCTCCGAGACCGACTCATGTTTTGTAGGTTCTTGTTCTGACTCAAAAGTTTCCTTTTCTGCTGCTAAAGTCAATATATCAGACTTTTCTGTGGTGTCGTTATCAATATTCTGGGATTTTTCCACAGCATCCGAGACAGCTGTTTCAGTTGCTTCCTCAACTTTCTCTTTTTCTGCTAAATTTGTAACATCTGAGAGGTTTTCAAGATTCGCTTGCGACACTGTTTTATCGATGGACTCTTTGCTCAAACTTTCATCATCTACAACTTGCTTTTCAATCTCCTCATTTTGCTTCGTTTCCACAACTAACTTCTCAGTAACAGCGACTTCTACTAGCTCATCTTGTTCCTCTATTTTGGCAGGAACAACTTGTTTAGACATTTCCTCCGATTCCAATTGCTTAAGTGGTGTTTTAGCTCTTGAAGTCTTGGTTTCACTTGAAGTTGAAGATCGACGTTTCTTTGTAGTTTTCTTTTCCTCTACATTCTCTTCTTCTTCCTCGACTATAACAGACTCTACAACTTCTTCGTTTTCTTCTGGTATAACCATACGCTGTTCCAACAGCTTACGTGGTGTTTTGGATGTATTAGGTTTAACCGTGTCATCATCTATTGAAACTCTACGTTTGCTTATTGTTTTGGGTGTTAATGGTGTAGTTTCGCTAACCACCGATAAAGAGGCACGTCTAGTGGTTCTTTTTGTTGGTGTTGCGGTGGTAGTGGTTTCAGCTGACATCGAGGCACGTCTAGCACTGCGTCTGGGAGTAAATGATGACTCTGTAGTGGAGTTTGTTTGAGTAGTTTCTGCTGACATTGAAGCACGTCTAGTACTGCGTCTGGGAGTAAATGATGACTCTGTTGCTGTGGTTGTTTGAGTTGTAGTCTCAGCTGACATAGAAGCACGTCTAGTACTGCGTCTTGGCGTAAGACTTGAGGAATTTTCAATTTTCTTTTTAATATTGCTAATTGAACTAAGTTCTTTAGGCTTCTCAGTCTCGTTTGTATTTTCTCCAGATTTGTTTGCCTGTTCTAAATCGCTAACATTATAGGCTTTTTTTTGCTCGGCATCTGCTTCTGAATGACTAATGGTGTCTTTAACTGTACAATCAGATGATTTAGTGACTTGATCTTCAGTTAAATCTTGTGCGATCGCTTTGTTTTCTTCAGCTTTATCTGGTGTAGTCGATTCAGTCTTTTCCTCGTTGGGAGTATTGTCTTCCATTTGGAGAGCAATATTTTCTAAGGATTTTGACTCCTCACATTCGCTAGGAGCATTAGCTTTAGAACTTTCTGACTTCTCATGTTTGTCAACGTTTTCTGTTACTTTTGGTTTATACTTTTCAGGATATTCAATATCTTCTTCTTGGTTCAAAATTTCAGTGTCAGCCGATTTCTCATCCTCATCTAGAGAACTTTCTTTTGGTTGGAACACAACATTTTCTTCTTCACTTTGAATTACTTCGTTCTCTTTAAATTCTTCAGCATTTTCATTATTTTGAATGTTTCCAGCTACTTCAGATTCAAGTTCTTTAGCCTTTTCCTCAGTTTGAACTGCGATCTCTATCTCTTCAGCTTCAGTCTTTTCTGAAACACTCAATTTCATGTTTTCATCAATTGAAGCAATGTTTGAAGGTTCGGAATCTTTACTTCCTGCCGATGTTGTATCTGGAATTTGTTCTTCAGATTTCTCCTTATTTTGAAGTAAATCAGTTTCGTTGATTTCAGAAGACTCCTCTTGAGCATCCAAATCAGTCTTTTGTTCATTTAAAAGTGGATCTTCTTGTTCTTTGACAATGTTATCGCCGGAACGAATTTCTTCATCTTTTTGAACAATGTTTTCAGTTTCTTTAATTTCAGACTCTTCTTGAGCACTAAACTGATTACTTTCTTCTTTCGAAATATTGTCTTCTTTAGCGGTAATAATACTTTCCGAAACTTCTGAATTTTCTTCCTTATGTTCAAGTTTGTCTTCATTTTGAAAAACAATTTCGGAAACTTCCTTAGGAGATTCTGAAACTTTTGTGTTTTCTTTTTTATCTTCAATATGGTCTTCATTTTGAAGATCAATATTTTTTACTGGAGATTCTGTTTCAGGGACAATTTCAGTACTTAAGTTAGATATTTCATCAGTCTTATCTGTTTTGGAAGATTTATATGTTTCTTGACTTAAAGATTCTGCAGCCTGTTCACTTTCTTTTTCATTTTGATTGCAAACTTCTTGGTCTTGTTGTGTTGTTTCTATATCTAAACTTTGCTGAACCTCTTCAACACTATCATCCTGCGATTCAGTTTCGTTTGTAACTTCCGGTAATTCGTTGTTTTCTTCGTTACTAGTGACAACTGTTTCATCTTCTGTTATCTCTTGTGTTAGTTTTTCACTTTCAAATTCTTCGGTTAATGGTTTTTCACTCTCCAGTTTACCTTCTTCCAGTTCAATAAGATGCTTTTGTTTTATTTCATCGGATTTATTAAGAACATCTTCGATTTCTTCTAATAATTTACTTGTATCATCTAAATCATTATCAATTTTCTCAATAAATAACGTTGGCGATTTCTCTTCAGATTTGGAGGTTGTCGATTTTTCCAAAATTTCAGAATTATCAACTTTTTGCTCTGGTTTTTCTTCTAAAGTTTCTTTATTGTTCTGGTTTATTTGGGACAATTCAAGTACATCCTTATCATCCTCAATATCTTTATTTTCTTGTAGTGCTAAACTTTCTGTTTCCTGGTTGTTATTAGCAATTTCTTCTTCATCTTTTTTTACTTCCTCCTTTAAGCTTTCATCAGTTTGTAATATTTTATTAGAATCATTAGATTCTTTGCTTGTTTCAACTTTAATTTCTTCACTTTTAACCTTTTCTTCGATTAGAGATCCTTCCAAAGTAATGTCTTCGTACAATGGTTGTTTGCTTACATTCGTTTCTTTTTCGATTAAAGAACCTTCCAGGGTTATATCTTCTACGATCGGTTTGTATATAGAGGACTTTTGTTCATCATCTTTTTCCTCAATTTCCTGCAGCTCTAGTGACTTCATTTCTTCAGGTTTAACTACTTCTTTTTCAGTTTCTAGTTCTTTTTTCTTTTTATTTGTATTTTCATTATTTACTTCATTTGTTTCCTTCAATTCAGTTTGATCATTTTCTGTAGTTTCCTCTCCATTTTTAACTTCTTCTTGGAGTATATTTTCGCTGTTAATAGTTTCTATAATTTCCACTATAGATTCTTCTCCGAAACCGGTGTCTACAACCTTTTCCTCACTTTTCTGAGTTAATGTTTTGGCTGGTTCTTCTGTAGTAACTTTTTGATTTATTTCTGTTTCGTTAACATTTTCTTCCACAATTTCTTCAAGAGCATCTGTAAAACTCTCTTGAGATTCAGTTTGTGAAGTTTCTTTTGGACTATCCGTAATTTCAATGGTTTCAGTTATGCGTTTTTCTTCTTGTTCTTCTGTTTCCTGAGAATCATTTATAATCTCAGCAAAACTTTCTTCAGTTACAATAGATTTTGATTTTTCCTTTTCCTTTTCGGTTTCTTCTACAGCTATTTCCTTCTCTTCAGTAGTTGCTGAATTTTCTTCATTGCTGGTTTTATCAAGTTCTTTGTTTTCTTTACTTAAACTAGTAATTTCTTCTACATCTACTGGAATTTCTATTGGTTCTTGATTCTTGTCTGCTTCTTTAGTTTCTTTTTCTGGTGAAAATGTGGCATCTTTTGGCTTATTATCCTCTGGTTTTTCAGCATTTTCTTCCTCATCAGAATCAATAATAAAAGTACGACTAAGATCATCTACTTCACCACTAACGGCCGGTTGTTTATCTGCAAATAATACAGCCTTTCGCTCAGGTTTTTTTTCTGATTGCGTACTTTTAGCCTTTAGAATACTAGAGGGAGCTTGTGGAGGTGTTTTTGCGGCAGTAACCATATTACGTGATCGTGCTGATATGGGAGTTAAACACAAAGATTTGCGTGCTCTTGTAACGAGACGATCGCTCATTACTTGTTGTGGTGATTTTTCCTTAATCGATGTTATTTTAGAAGTGGAAGCTGGCAGTACAATTGATCTACGAGCCTTAGATATGTGAGAAGATAATGGTACACCTCCTATAGATTTGCGCACCTTATGCAGGGGAGAGGTCTTACAGGCAGCACGAGTTCTTAAGGCAGAATTATTACTAGAACCTGACACGGGTGTGGAGGTGGGTAATGCTCTTGCTGCGGAAATGGGATTAATAGATGAACGTCGTGAGGCCATTCTGTTAGAGCTTGAAGGTGATGCTAAATTACTGGTAGAAGGAGAGCTATCGAAACGACTCCTTGCAGGCATACTTTTACGGGTGGGAGTACTCATACTTTGCCTTCTAGGCAATTGCGAAGTACTTTTATCACCCACTGAAGCTTGAGGAGTAACTGGAGTTCTTAACAAAGCTAAATTACTGCGCAAAGGTATACGATTTATGGATTCTCTGCGCGGTGTGGTAGCAGTGTTAAGATTTCTTTGTGGTGTGGTGTTTTGTTTTTTGGCACTTGTTATGAGAGCGCGTTTCATCAATGACTGGGGAGTGCGTTTGGGCGTAAAGGCTCCCGCTCGAGTTTGAGCCTTCACAGGTGTTGCCATACCAGTACTAGTGACTGGCGTACAACCAATATTCGAACCATCACTCGTTACTTCTATAATACTCGAAGTATCTGTGGAACTGCTGACACTTATAACAGAACTGGGCGTTTCTAGAGGACTGTTGCTGTTATCCTGTAAAGCAGGTGTAGAAGGCAAGGCTGATAAACCCAATTGTTCTTCTGAGGACAATTTACCACATGATTTATCAACGTTAGTAGTTTTTTTCTTGGCAGAAGCTTTCAAAGCCGATTTTAAATACGGACTAGCCGGTCTTAATTTATTCGGTGTTGTTAAATCGATTAAATGCATAGAGGAATTCTTAAGTACTTTTGTAGAGGCAGTATTTGGTTTACCCTTTTTCGATGTAGAAGGCGTATGAAAAGTCAATAATTCTCTTTCATCACCCTCATCCTCCGCCGCATCGTCGTCTTCATTCAAATCACTTTTCGGTGTGCTATAAACACTTTTAGGTGTTGCGGGAGTTTTAGTGACCAGCACTTTTGGCTTTACAACGGTCGCAAATGATTTTTCAATTCGTACACCCGTTTCACGCGGTGAAAATGAAGTTATTACAACATCCGATTGATGGCACATCGTAAGTAGTTGTTTATTTTTCTTTTGTGTACTTTTATTCTCTTTATCTTTTGTACAATTGATTAAATTCATTTTAGGTGTTTCCATTAGAGCACTGGTTGTGGTTTTTTCATTTTGTTGCTCCTTTGGCTCTGGTGTTACACTGCGATTACGATTTTCTGGTTCTTTTTCTTGTGTATTGGCATTTGTGTCTTTAGAGTCTGTTGTTTGATTTTCTTTAATATCAGTTTCAATTTTAGTTTGATATTGTTTTGTTTGTGGTGATGATTCGCCTTCGTTGCTGTTTTCATCATTTGAATCTGTTGATGTGTTTCCCTCTTCATCCGATTGTATACAATAGGCGAAACTTTTTTATTTTTTATAAAAAATAAGAATTTTTGGAATAATAATACTTTTTAAACATTTTAGATTAAAGTTTGTTAGCATCTAAAGTGTATTATATATAAGTTAAACTTTCATTTAAGCACATATTTTCACTCCATAATGAAGTCTTAAGAATTAACATTGTCAAAATCTAATTTTTCTAAAATTTTAAATTTCTTTATTATACAGATCAACTAGAACTGAACCAGAAATCAAATAAAACTAAACTAGAACTGAACTAAAACTGAACTAGAAATGAACTAGAACTGAACTAGAACTGAACTAGAACTGAACTAGAACTGAACTAGAACTGAACTAGAACTGAACTAGAACTGAACTAGAACTGAACTAGAACTGAACTAGAACTGAACTAGAACTGAACTAGAACTGAACTAGAAATGAACTAGAAATGAACTAGAACTGAACTAGAACTGAACTAGAACTGAACTAGAACTGAACTAGAACTGAACTAGAACTGAACTAGAACTGAACTAGAACTGAACTAGAACTGAACTAGAACTGAACTAGAACTGAACTAGAACTGAACTAGAACTGAACTAGAACTGAACTAGAACTGAACTAGAACTGAACTAGAACTGAACTAGAACTGAACTAGAACTGAACTACAACTGAACAAGAACTGTACTTCAACTGAACTAGATCATCTAACACAATTATGCCACTTTTAAATATATATTTTCTTTGGAACTTTTAACTGATTAAAATTTATAAAATGTATTTTGAGATAAAAATTTCTTTAGGTACTTACTTGTGTACTGTAAACCTTTTGGGTAATTCTCGGTGAAGCTGAAATGAAAAGAAATACATTATATTGGATATTGAACCGATATTATTGAGTAGATATCATCAATTAAGTCCCAAAATATGTATATAGTACCTATCTCATATAAATTATGTACATATAATAAAAAATGCTCTTACCTTAAAATCTGGACAAGAGTTTGGCGGTTGTTCGGGTATACCGATTTGTTTTTGTGGTGTCGAAGCGGCTTCAACGGGTAAATCTTCAAATTCATTACTGGAATTTTTTGGGAATTGCCATAAATATTCTTTATCCAATATTGACAATTTCGAATTGTTCAATAAAATGCGTTTGATTTCAACAGTAGAACCATTAACTAAAATGGGTTTATCGGGTGATAAATTACGTATGGTTACCTAAAAATATATCACAAGACAAAGATAAAAAAAAACAAAAATTAAAAGAAAATTAAAAAAATTATACTAGTATGAAATTAAAGTCTGGCGAAAACAACTACATACATATGTGTATGGAAACCAACTACACATTTATAATATAATTATCCTATTTAGACCTTAAATGATAGCTTTACTATAATATTTATGTTGAATTTCTTCTAGGTATCAATATTTCGTAGTTTTTTTAAATTTAACTGGGTTTCCGAATTTTGCTTATTATGGGGATGCTATGACGAAATTTTTAAAGTGGAAGATATCTTTAAAAGGATTTACAAACGAAAGTTCGTACGGACATAGTTATATTCAATGCGGATGTTATTCAAAAGCTATCGGTGTAGGATATTAGAAGATGGTATAATTCCCTCCGCACTTTTGTAGATAAAATTGTTTTTAAGAAAAATCTATACAAAAAGAAAGCCTCAAAATGTTATCTAAATTAAAGGCAGCTGCACCTTTATACACAAATAAAACAACATATCAAGACAAACAATAAAACAATTGTCTAGCAATTGCAAATATTATAATATTTTCAAATACCAACTTACCCTTCCAAATGCATCACATTCAATTTCACAATGAACACCCTTGGCTCGTTCGTCGACCAAAACAAAATCACAACTCACATAATAGCCCATGGTAAATTTGCGGCCTTTGGCCAAGACAATCTCACCATGATTGCCGGCTTCATCAAGGCAGATGAATTTTGCGCCTTCCAATGACATTTTCAATGTTGGTGTTAAGTGGTTTTAAAAGATTTCACAACACTCAAGCACTTCTTACTAAGCGGCATAAATAATTCCTGTTTATTTCTTTTTTTCTTTGCAATAATTTAACAGTTTTTTTAACTCCTCCTTTTCTCCCAACGACCAGAGGTTTTTCTTTTTTTTTATACTTTTTAGTTTAATTTTTGTATATTTTCCTGTTTTTTATTTTCTCACATCTCCTTTGATTTGTTTGTGTGTGTTTGATGCCGCATTAACAAGCAGGAAAAAAAAAGGAAGCCGTCAATGAAAAAAGATTTTGTTCACTGGGTATAGAAAGTTGGTTGTTAATTTTTTCATTTGCAAAAAACCAACTTTCAAACAATGAAGCCGAGTTGTTTTCTCTACTTTTTGGCAGCTTTAAATGTTTAAAATTCTTTTCCTTATGTCTTGAAATTGTGTTAATAGTTTAATTAAAATCACTTATATTTATGGAAAATAATTTTTTTCTGTATTGGAATTTTTTTCTTTTGCGTTTCCTTTATTATTTTTCTGGACACAAAATTCAAGCGAACGAAAAGGGACGCGCTCTCGCAAATAATAAACTCTCGTTTGTTGTAAATTATGTTGTTGCTGCTGCTGCAACTGTTGTTGTTTGCAATGTTGCTTTGTGTTTTGTTCGTTTGAAAAATTTAAATAAACAGTGTTGTATTTTAGCCTTAACCAAAATAATATTAAATGCCTTAAATTACACACCAGGTATTTATATTATATTCAGTGTTTACTTTTAATCACCTAAATTAACTTATTAAGTTAAATTTTATCTAAACAATATGAAATTGTTGTACAATGTAAATAAATTTTATGACAAATACAACCCTGTTGTCATAATAGTGCAAACATTCACATTATAATGATAACCCGCTTTAATACTTCCAATATAAAGTAATGCCAAGTTTCTATGTAAAAAAATTACCTAAATTTACAAACGAATTTCATATAATTAAAATAAAAGAGCTGTCGGAAAACAGAACCGGCAAAAATTAACAATTATTTTGGGTGAATATGACGATCAAACCTAAATCAATCTATGATCAGTTTTGCCTAATATTGATATTCTGGGCGAATTGTCGATTTTACCTAAAAATTCTTATAACTCTGTATACCTATACTGAGGTTTTCAAGAAAATAAGCTTAATCTATGGTCACTTATCAAGAATCGATCATTTAATTGTGATTAATCTGTGATCAGTGATATTTTGAGGACAAAAGACAATATTTTGGGCGCAATGTCGGATCTAACCAAAAAAATTCTTACAACTCTGTAAATACCGTTTTTTTTTTTTTTTTTGAGAAAATAGGCTTAACGTTTTATAAAGTATCGATCATTTGAGTGAACAAATCTATCAAACCTAAAATCTCTTATAACTCGGTATGTTTTCTACTTTTTATCAAAAATTGGTACATTGAACAGAAGGAGAAAAAAATGAAAAAAAACACAACTATTATTAACTTTGAATTTTGTTGTAAAAATAATGCCAAGTTTTTATGAAAATTACTTGCGTTGCGAACATTTTTAACATATAGATACTCAAACAGCTGTTTAGGAAAAAAACAACACCGGAATATTTTCGCATAAACAATTGTGTTAATTTTATTTTTGCAAATTTCAATTGAACTTCTATAAAATCATAAAAAATGGATGCAGATTCGGCAAGAAAATCTTGGGAGTTAGAGAATAACATAAAAACTTTGCCCTCTTGTGATGAAATATTTCGCTACGATGCCGAACAGCAAAGACAAATTTTAGATGCTAAACCCTGGGAAAAAGATCCCCATTATTTTAAGGATATTAAGATATCTGCTTTGTCATTGTTAAAAATGGTTATGCATGCTAGATCAGGAGGTACATTAGAAATAATGGGTTTGCTTTTGGGCAAAGTGGAGGATAATACAATGGTAAGTGGGTAGTGAATCTAATATGGAGTAGCAGGAATGTAATTTATTTATTATGTTTTTTTTTTATAGATTGTCATGGATGCCTTTGCTTTGCCGGTGGAGGGCACCGAAACACGTGTAAATGCCCAGTCACAGGCCTATGAATACATGTCTGCCTACATCGATTCGGCTAAAGAAGTAGGACGTTTGGAGAATGCCATAGGCTGGTACCACAGTCATCCTGGCTATGGTTGCTGGCTGTCGGGCATTGATGTCTCCACACAAATGCTTAATCAAAACTATCAAGAACCCTTTGTGGCCATCGTCGTAGATCCGGTACGTACCGTCTCTGCCGGCAAAGTATGTTTAGGTGCTTTCCGCACTTATCCCAAGGGTTACAAAGCTCCCAATGAAGAACCCTCTGAATACCAAACTATACCGTTGAATAAAATTGAGGATTTTGGTGTTCATTGCAAACAATACTATCCCTTGGAAGTAAGTTATTTCAAATCGGCTTTAGATCGTAAACTTTTGGATTCATTGTGGAACAAATATTGGGTCAATACTTTAGGCAGTTCTGGCCTGTTAACTAATACTGAATACACTACCGGTCAGATCTTTGATTTGTCTGAAAAGTTGGAGCAAAGTGAGTCTAGTTTGGGCAGAGGTACTTTTTTGATATCGGGTAAGATAATGCGATGAATTTGTTAATGAAATCTTAAAAAAATAACAAATTTCTTCTGCTAGGTGGTGATGTGAATGAGAAGCGTACCGAGGACAAATTAACAAAGGCCACACGTGATTGCAGTCGCGCTTCTATTGAATTAATTCATGGTCTAATGGCTCAAATTGCCAAAGATAAACTATTCAATAAAGTTGGTTTGGAAAAGAAGTAGAAGATGGTGTGAGTCATCAGTAGAGGTTTTGCATTACTAATAACAAAACACTAACATAAAGAATTATGCATGTAAATGAATTTAAAAAATTCGTAATAAATTTCTCATTTTTCATAAACATATTAAAATACTGGGCTTTTTTTTTCTAGATAAACAGACAGATTGATAGATGGATAGATAGATAGGTAGATAGATAGATAGATAGATAGATAGATAGATAGATAGATAGATAGATAGATAGATGGATAGATAGATAGATAGATAGATAGATAGATAGATAGATAGATAGATAGATAGATAGATAGATAGATAGATAGATAGATAGATAGATAGATAGATAGATATATAGATAGATAGATAGATAGATAGATAGATAGATAGATAGATAGATAGATAGATAGATAGATAGATAGATAGATAGATAGATAGATAGATAGATAGATAGATCGGATAGATAGCTAGATATATAGATAGATAGATAGATAGATAGATAGATAGATAGATAGATATATAGATAAGATAGGATGATAGATAGATAGATAGATAGATAGATAGATAGATTAATAGATAATAGATAGATAGATAGATAGATAGATAGTATAGATAGATAGATAGATAGATAGATAGATAGATCAGATAGATAGATAGATAGATAGATAGATAGCTAGATTAGCTAGTTAGTATTTCTTTCAGTGATCAAGCGTTAATCTGATACTACTTCCATTTTCGATATAAGTGATCAACGTTTTCCTAACAAAAATCTGTATAATTATTATAAATATAAATAGTTCTACAATTCAGTAAACACTCTAACCTTGTCATTATGACCTATTTTCCTGATTAAAACTTCTTCATTAATCAATACAATCAACCAACAAAAAAAAATAACCCTTATTAACAGATAAAACTTCCTTTTGGCAAAACCAAATAAAACAAACAAATTTACGCACTTACAGCTATTTAACCAATTAAATAATTAAGTGTTCTTCTTGTGGTCATCATTCACACCATTTTATTTCATTCATACTTTTTTGTGTAAGTCCTATCTGTGCGTGCGTGTTTTGCCAAAACCCCCGAGTAAAGTAAATGTTATAGTTATTGTGCTTATTTATCTTTGTGTTCGATTAAGTATTTGTCAAATGTGAATAGCGCTATCTAACATTTTATTTGTATATTTTTATCTATTGTCTAAATTCTAATGAACATCAAACTCAGCACGCAAAAAATTAAAGAGAATAGAAAAAACCCTTGCATCTAGCGTTAAACCCTTCATTGTTTTAGTTGTTGCTGCTATAGTTGTTGTTATTATGGATAACCCCAAACAGGGGGGAGAAATAAAAATAGTTTAGTATGTTTCGATTCATTGAAAGATTTGTAACAGTTGGTCTTTTTCGTCTTTTTTCCTCCCTCATTAATAGGATAGAAAAGTTTATAGAAAGTAGTAAATAAAATATTAAACTACTATATCAAACATATATTAAAGACATCCTTGAAACACAAAAAAAAGTTTCATAATCTTAGTTTTTTTGTTCTCGTTGGTGTGAATCCGTATTTTCTTAACAAACATTTGTTTTATTTTTTCACATAGTTTATTTTATCACTTTTTTCAAGCTTTAAATAATTGAACACACATCCTTGCAAAAGTAGGGTTCATAAACCGGAAAAACAAACTAATGTTTTATATTCGGCTATGCTGAATCTTATATACCCTGCATTAACAGATTTATCGTAAATTACAAATGAATTTGGAATGGTGAACCTAATCAACATATTAATGACTGATTTAACTATATTGCAGGGGACGGACCACTAGTGGGGGATTAGTTGAAATCGTAGACCGATATTAGTTGCATATTGCTATGTGATACAAAGAGCATGACAAAATCATTATATACACCAAATTTTTGGCCAGTGGGTATAAAATAAGAGGATATAGTTTATATGTAATAAAAGTACATGAAATTCATTGGCAGTATATAAACGTATAAATATAAATGTGTACGTATATATGTAAATGTAAATATGTATGTATCATATATAGTTTATAGTATTAACTACTATAAGGTGATAAAACTAGGTACTTAGCATTAGTGTTTTATCTAAATCGAATCGTTAAAATTCGTATTTTAAGTAAAAAGTAAATCTAGTTATTTGTGGAAAATATTTTGAAATGAAAACGATGCAACCGGTGACCCTGCAAACTAACTAACTAACTAACTAACTAACTAACTAACTAACTAACTAACTAACTAACTAACTAACTAACTAACTAACTAACTAACTAACTAACTAACTAACTAACTAACTAACTAACTAACTAACTAACTAACTAACTAACTACTACTAACTAACTAACTAACTACTAACTAACTAACTAACTAACTAACTAACTAACTAACTAACTAACTAACTAACTAACTAACTAACTAACTAACTAACTAACTAACTAACTAACTAACTAACTAACTAACTAACTAACTAACTAACTAACTAACTAACTAACTAACTAACTAACTAACTAACTACTAACTAACTAACTAACTAACTAACTAACTAACTAACTACTAACTAACTAACTAACTAACTAACTAACTAACTACTAACTAACTAACTAACTAACTAACTAACTAACTAACTAACTAACTAACTAACTAACTAACTAACTACTAACTAACTAACTAACTACTAACTAACTAACTAACTAACTAACTAACTAACTAACTAACTAACTAACTAACTAACTAACTAACTAACTAACTAACTAACTAACTAACTACTAACTAACTAACTAACTAACTAACTAACTAACTAACTAACTAACTAACTAACTAACTAACTAACTAACTAACTAACTAACTAACTAACTAACTAACTAACTAACTACTAACTAACTAACTAAC